CTTCCTATCGGTCATGGCATTCATCTCTCTAAGGCTATATGTCCTAAGACACCTGCCGAAAGGGAACGCATGGAGAGGATTCCATATGCATCAGCAATTGGATCCATCATGTATGTCATGCTATGTACAAGACCAGACGTCTCTTATGCTTTAAGCATTACGAGCCGATACCAGTCTGACCCTGGAGAGAGTCACTGGATGGTCGTGAAGACAATCCTTAAGTACTTGAGAAGGACTAAGGATTTGTTTCTGGTTTATGGTGGCAGTAATGAGCTGAAAGTGAAGGGGTTCACTGATGCTAGCTTCCAGAGTGATAAAGACGACTGTAAATCTCAGTCAGGCTTCATCTACACTTTAAATGGTGGAGTAGTTTCTTGGAAGAGTTCCAAGCAAGAGACCACGACAGACTCTACTACATAGGCAGAATACATAGCGGCTTCAGAAGCAGCTAAGGAGGCAGTCTGGATCAAGAAGTTTGTTGCAGAACTTGAAGTAGTTCCGAGCATTGTTGATCCAATATCTTTGTATTGTGACAACACTGGTGCAATAGCCCAGGGCAAGGAACCCAGGTCTCATCAGAGATCAAAGCATGTGCTCCGCAAGTATCACCTCATCCGGGAGATTATTGAAAGACTGGAAATAAAGATGGACTACGTCCCCATTAATGATAATTTGGCCGATTCTCTGACGAAGGGTCTCTCTCAGAGAAAACATGATAGTCATTATGAGTCTTTAGGTTTGACACGTCGACCTGATTGGTTCTAGGCCAAGTGGGAGATTGTTAGTATATAGGTGTCCAAGAGACAATCTGTTTTATCAGATGAACACTTTTTTTTAGAAGTGGTATTTCATGATTTATAAATTTGAGCAAACTTTATCTTTATTATATTTATGTCTCACCAATATTTTATTGTTAATATGTGAATAAAGATAAAGACCCTATGAATAGAACATGTGTTAACTCGGGGATCTATGATAGGGATCATGATCATGAGGACTCGAGGACACTGTATGTCTATTATCTAATATCTGTTCCTGGTCTTGAAACACCAAGAAAGGGTATTGGTGATCTCAATAAGACTAGTACGACGTCATTTACTTGTATAAAGATACGAGGTAGGAACCTCATGGAATACAGGTATGGTGATGCTTTAGGTGATGTCGTGGGTTGATCTGTTAGAGAACAGATAGCACTGAACTGACCCACCGAGAGACTCCACAAGGATTCATTATAGAGAGTATCATTGGATTTGTAAAGTCTCTCATCGTTTGGTAGTGCAGATCATCCTAGACTTAAGGATGTCATCGAATACTATGTCCTAGAGTTATACTTTGACTGTACAACTTTATTCGCCTGAAAAATGGGGAGAACAGTGTACTCTTGGGTATGACTCGAATACATGAGTATAGATGAACATGCCGAAAGGACTTCATAATCCCCTATAAGGGATTAGTCGTTCACAAGACCGGTAGGGCTTGGATGACTTCTAGTTGACTCGAGAAACTATGCATAGTAAGAGATCATGAAGAGTCATGATCTATCTTAGAGTCAATGGAAGAAGATTCCTAGTTCCTGTTAAATATTATATTTAGTCAATAAAGAGAGATGATACTCTATCCTTGCTCTCGACTAAATGTGAATGACGAAGTGAGGGATGATGCCAGCATGGTATCAAAATTAGAAAGGTAGATCACTTGATCAACTCAATTAGTTCTGCGGCTGCAGAGCATTGCTAGTGTCTTATGTGGTCATTAGATAAATTGGGCGTGTTAAAAGAGTTTAATTGGTTCAAGTTTATTTATGTCAGTGACTAATTGAGCCTAATGGGTCACACACTAAGGTTATTCTTGATTGCTTACATTTAGCAAGTTTGGACCAATAAGTGTTATTGGGTTTTTCAAGACTATAGGTGTAATTGGGTTGGAGTTGAACTCCAAGTCCAATATCATCATGCGCCTTTGGACTATTAGTGAAAGATTAATTTTTCTATTAATAAGCCCAAATGTGTTAGTAGGCCCAATACGGTATTGGGCCATGAATCATAGCAAGTCAAATAGTTGACTTGGCCAAAATAAGTTTTTGGCGCAATTCGAAATTTGAATTTGAATTTTGAATTTTCGAATTTCGAATTTGAATTCAAATTTAAATTGCGGGCTAGGATAAAATCGAATTTAATTTTATTTAAATTCAAGAGGTTAGGTAATTAAGGATAGTTTTGAATTATCCTTATCTGTATCTAATATGATTAGATAGAGATTTATTATTTCTATTTTATTTGAATTATGAATTTAAATAAAAATTATATTTAATGTAACGTTTGTCTCTTAATGCTGATTAAGGGATTTGATGAGGAAACGTTAATGTAACGTCCATCTCTTAATGCTGATTAAGGGATTTGATGAGGAAACGTTAATGTAACGTCCATCTCTTAATGCTGATTAAGGGATTTGCTGAACCACGTTAAAGTAACGTCTTTTTCTTCAGATCAAGATATACAGCGCCTCTCTGGACTAAAATCCTAATTTTTGGCCGCCCCTCTTTCTCTTCATCTCTCTTCCTCCATTATTGGTCCTCTCACCTAACCTCAAGACAACATTACAGTCTTGAGAAAAATAAACAAAAACACTTGAAAGCCTCCACCTTGCCGCAGCCTAGCGAGCTTCCAAGGAAAGGGAGGGTTCATGGAGAAAGCGTTTCTCAGAAGCAACCAAGAGGTAGCCGTGTGGATTACTGTTAGAGGGAGTCATCCACTTTGACACCTTCAAGTGAAAAAAGTATGAATTTTAAACCATACATGTTTAACGGGCAGATCCTAAAACATGAGGCGCATAGATTGTCTATGCTTCCGCATCAAAGACCATTTTTTTTTGTTTTTACCCTCAAGTAGGCGCATCAAGGTGGGACCTTTGTGCAGCCAATTTTGACTTTCAACATATGGTGTTCTGTGTCAATATCGGTGCTACATAAATTATCACTACTACACAGGCAAACCGATGCGAAGGTGAATCTTATCACCTCAAAATAAAAATGAAAATGATTGATTAAATAGAAAATAGCCTTTACATAGTATCAAAGTTTCATATTTTATCTTTAAAACTATTTACTCAAATATCATGCGACAATGAAAATTATTTTTTGGAATATCACGTTTTTCAAAATCTTTGATCCTACTCTATGTATCACCGATACTGACACGAGACACGTGACACGATACGACACGACACTCCGACACGTTAATTCTAAAAAATGTTAGATTTTGACACGTTAGGACACATTTTGATATTAAATAATACTTTTAATTTAGGGAAAAGTTCACCAATGCCCCTGTGGTTTACTTCAGAATCACTTATGCCCCTGTGGTTTTTTTCTTATCACATATGCCCCTGTGGTTTGTAAAAGGTATGTTTTTTTATCACATATATCCATGTGGTTTCTTATTTTTTACAAAGCACAGGAGCATATGTGATAGGAAAAAAACCACAGGGGCATAAATGATTCTGAAGCAAACCACAAGGGTATTGGTGAACTTTTCCCTTTAATTTATATAGTGTATATTATATTTAATATTAAATAATTTAACAAAAAAATGAAACTAAATTTATAATATTTATCAATTTTGCAAAGAAACATAAGATATCACAAATATTTATATTAAACTCAATAAAATGGTAATCGTAATCCAACGAATCTAATAGTTGGAACTAAAAACTCAACACAACGAAACCTTTGAACTTTTTTTGAATTTCTATAACGCGTGTTGAAGTGTCAGGGAGTGTCGGAGTGTTGTAGAGTGTCGGAAAGTGTAGGACACGACACGTCAGAATTTTTGAAGTGTCGGAGCTTCATAGATCCTACTAGCTAGATTAGGCTACAAAGTAGCAGAGTATTAATCGTTTATTCTAAATTTCACTCCTTTTTTAACATCTATATTTAATATAAATTATATAAACTTGAAATTTTTATTATTAAATAAAAATTTATATTAAATAAATTAAATTAAATAATAATTAATAATGAAAATAATTTAATTATCTTTGAAATCGTCGCATATATAGGAATATTAAATTTATTACCAAAAATGATGATTTGATAATTTTTTTATTTTCTTTCTAAATTTGAAAAAATAATTAGAAATTTATATCAAATGAATTATGTCAAGAAATAATTAATAATATAAATAATTTGATTCTCTCTTAAAACTCTTTCAAATTTAAAAATATTAAATTTATTATTGATAAGAGAAATTTAATAATTATTTCACAAATTTTTTTCTTAATTTGAGAAAAATGGTACTTTTTTTTTCGGATAACAGGAAAAATGGTATTTAACATCATATGTAATATTTATATTTTTTGACATAATCTTTTGGAATCCTTATAAATTTAAAATCGTCAAATTATCTTTATTGAAAATAAATTTATGATTAATTTATTGAAAATTTCCAACTTAATGCCAATTTGATTCGTTTATCATAATCATTTAATTAATATTTTTTTCTTAAATAGAAAATAAAATGAAAAATGATTTTCTAAAGTGTCACCATTTTCAATAAATTCGATAAATTAGAAAAGAACATAAAAAAACAATTTTGAACTTTTTATTATTGATATCAATTTTATTATTTATTATTTTTAGTTATTTAAAGAAATAATATATTAAAATAATATACCGTATTGAATATTAGTTAATCAAATTAATTAAATATAATTTTTTAATTAAATATAATTTGTGTGAATGAATGAGAGTATAAAGTAGGAGAAAGAATAAAGATTTGGATATATAATCAAAAAATGGTGGCAATCTGATTGTGCCAATTTCTTTCGAGAAAAAAAGGAAAGAAATAGAATAAAAAAAGTATTTTATTATCGGATTCCAAAATGAGCTTGGGATTAGAGTTTATATAGTTGAGATCCGCTACAGTCCCCCTCTTCCCTCTCTCAAGGTTCTCTTTGTTCCTCATCTCTCTTCCCCTCTTCCGCTTTCTCCCAGATGCCATGATTTTCCCGAGAAACTGAGAGAAAGTCCGAGAAATTTTCCTCAGAGACAAGGCCAAAGAAGATAACCATAGTGTATACCCTAGACAGATAAAGCTCTCAACACACCCTTTGCTTTGGAGCTTCAATCCAGAATCTGTTGTCTCCGCACTATTTATTGCTTCCTTCTTCGATCTGAATCTTCGCCATTGAAGCCGCTCTCTTTTGCTTTCGTGAAATCAGAAGTTTTTGTTGTTTCCGAAAGCCGTAGGTTCGTGCGGTTCCTAGGTCAATCAGCGTTGTTGATAGCTGATTGTCGATTATTTTCTGATTTTGGAAACCCTAGATTTGGTACGGTTTTGTGTAATTTGGTGTTGTTTTCAATTTAGGTTTGTTTGCTTTGCTGTTTGTGCTGGTGCATACGGTTTCCCGTGGGTGCCGCATGCTATTTGGGTTGATTTTTCATGCCGTCGGAACCAATACCGTGGGATCGAAAGGACTTCTTCAAGGAGAGGAAGCACGAGAGGTCTGAGTCTCTAGGGTCTGTGGCCAGATGGAGAGACACTCCAGCTCATCACGGCTCCCGCGAGTTGAATCGGTGGGGATCAGCCGAAAATCGGCGCTCATCTGGTGAGTTTCTTTTTTAATCGTTTTGGTCTTTTATTTTTTGTTTATAAGTTGTGCTTCGTGAACGTCTTGATGCATTATGAGGGGCTAGAGTTTCTGTTTGGTGTTATTGTTTTATTATTTAATTTTGGAAGAAATTAGGGTTTTGAATGGTTAATGATTTGGTTGGTTATACTTTTGTGGTTTTTCTTATCTGATTGATTGTGAATTTTTTAATCTTTTATTTGTTTTTGGTGATTTTTGAAGGCACGGGTCTGCAGATGTTATTGGAATGTTACTTTAAATGGGCGAACTTTCTTATGTGCTCATTTTTTTTTTTTTTTCTTTTTCTTCATGAGAATATATACTTTGCTTGTGTTGATTTTCTCTTTTCTATTTCCCCCTTTTGGTTTAAATATTTTCTCAAGGTCATGGCAAGCTGGGTGGTTGGCACCTGTTTCCAGAAGATTCCGGTAATGGGCATGGGCTTTCTCGGTCCTGTGATAAGATGCTGGAGGAAAATAATTGTCGGCCTTCAGTTTCTCGAGGGGATGGAAAGTATGGCAGGAACAATAGGGAAAACAGAGGATCCTTTAGCCAGAGAGATTGGAGAGGACATTCATCGGAAACTGCTAACAGCTCTCTGAATTTGTCCAGGAGGCAACTGGATGCGAATAATGACCAGAGATCAGTTGATGACATACTCACATATTCTTCTCATCCGCATTCCGACTTTGTGAACTCTTGGGAGCAGCATCACTTGAAAGACCAGCATGAAAAGATGGGTGGTGCCAATGGTTTGGGTACGGGCCAGAGATCTGACAGGGAGAGTTTGGGTTCGATTGCATGGAAGCCACTTAAATGGAACCGTTCTGGAAGCTTGTCTTCTCTAGGCTCAGGCTTTAGCCACTCAAGTAGGAGCGCCAGAGGGGCAGATTCCTGTGAAGGGAAGGTTGAGTTGAAGGACAAAAATGCAACTGCTGTTGAGTCAAATTCTGGGGAAGCTTCTGCGTATGAGACTTCTTCTGCTCCTCTGGCTAAATTGGGGAAGAAGCCTAGGCTAAATTGGGGTGAGGGACTTGCAAAGTATGAGAAAAAGAAAGTCGAGGGGCCTGATGTAAGTGCAAACAAAGATGGCGCTGTCTTCTCTACTATCAACAATTTCCCCAGTCCCATCTTAGTAGATAAAAGCCCGAAAGATACAGGATTTTCAGATTCTGCATCTCCTGCAACTCCATCTTCTGTTGCCTGCAGTTCCTTGCAAGGTATGTTATTCGACTCTCTGTTAAGGTTGTACAATAATAAGGTAACTTAACTTGTAGAAGTGTATAGTGAAGTAACATAACTCATCAGGGTGTTTATTTTAAATCTTATAGAATTGTAGTGAATAGTACTCTGCTATCTGGTGTGTCAAATTCATTCAGGTTTCTGAATGTATAATATATACACAAGTTTTTTGCTTTTCTATTATATTTACTTGTTTGCCAAAACCTGAGTTTAACCTTGTAGCAGGTGTGGATGATAAATTATTTGGAAAAGCTTCAAATGTGGACAATGATGCTAGTAATTTGAGTGGTTCACCTCGTCCTGTGTCTCAAAATCATATGCAGAGGTTTCCTTTCAATTTAGAGAAGGTGGATATTGACTCGTTGACAAGTCTGGGTTCTTCACTTTTTGAGTTGCTACAGTCTGATGATTTGAGCTCTGTGGATTATAGTCTAGTGATATCCCCTGCAATGAATAAGTTGCTGGCATGGAAAGCTGACATTTCAAAGGTATTGGAGGTGACTGAAACTGAAATTGATTTACTTGAAAATGAACTGAAGTCACTAAAATCTGAATCTGGGGATAGATTTCCGTACTCAGCAGCAGTTGGGTCCCTGCTGGTATACTTCAATGAAAAATCTTGTGATGAACATGTTGGAGGCTCTGTCAAGGTTGCTCGTCCAGAGTCATTGCAAATTGTTTCTTCTGATGACCCTAATGTGGAGATGCTTCATTCTACTAACTTGCATGATATACATGATAATGGCAAGGAAGATGATATTGACAGTCCTGGAACGGCAACGTCTAAATTTGTAGAGCCTCTGCCCTTGATTAATGCAGTTTCTTCATGTGATGTGGGGAGATATAATACTTGCTCTGGAGCCTTGGATGGAATTCAGTCTACTGCCATGAAATGCTTACTTCCCTGTGCGTATAGACAAGTTGCTACTGTATCTGCTTGTGGTGATGGTAATACATCTATGGAGGTAAAAGATGGCGTGGGTGGTAACTCTGGCGCAAGCTTTTGTTCTAGCACTGAGGATATTTTATGTGCTAAAATTATTTCTGCCAATAAAGAATATGCAAAGAGTGCATCTGAGGTATTTACTAAGTTATTGCCAAAAGAATGTGATAAGATGGCTAATATTGGAGCTAGCTGCAGCTCATGCTCACATGATAGTGCATTCATTGTGGAAAAATTTGCAAAGAAAAAGCTGTTTGCAAGATTTAAGGAGAGAGTTATAACACTTAAGTTTAAAGCCTTGCATTACCTGTGGAAAGAAGATATGCGCTTACTATCTATAAGGAAATGCCGCCCAAAATCTCACAAAAAACTTGAAATAGGTTTGCGAACTATCAGTTGTGTTCGTCAAAAGAATCGATCCTCCATTCGTTCTCGTTTTCCCTTCTCAGGTATGAATATGATTATATCTAAAGTTTTTCTGCTAAACATGTGACTTTCATTTTACTGCGTCTTTCTTTAGATAAATATGTTGTTGTAATGCACATAACACAATAGCATTATTTGATTCATGTAGCGAACTCCACCAAGTGGTAAAAGGCTTTGGTGGTGGTGGTTGTTTTCTTTACATAATTAGTTCAGCTAGGAGACTGTGCATTACTTTGATTTCATATGGCAAGAGATGCTTTGTTTTTTGAAAAGGGGAGGAATAACAAAGAATAGGTTATTTTTCCGTTGTTGGTTTGTGTTACAAACCTCTACTGAGATCACGAAAATAAGAATAGAAACAGAGATCATTGGCCTGAATAACTTCAGCTTTTTCATATTTTGAGCAAAAGACAATTACAAGACAGTCTCACTGAGACAATTATAGGGAAATCAAGACAATTACAATGAACTGGAAATCAAAATAACAAAGCACAAAGAAATAAAAGATAATGTGAGACAATTCTAGAGGTCTCACTCTCCCGATCCCAAAAGGGCCTACCACTAAGATTTCAGATTCCCAACCATGATGCCTTCCTTTTGTATCATAGTAGTTAATTGCGCCGCAATAGCGCCGCGAGCCGCGCTGTATGGGCGTTGCGGTGCCTCACCGCAAGAAACCGCTTCGTGCCACATTGGAATGCAACAGCGGCCATTGCGATTGCAAATCGCGGCCATATTGTTGTCATAAGGCAAAATGTCAATTTTTCCTAAATTTAAATGTGTAATAGAAAATTTTTAAGGGTATTTTAGTCTATCTGTGTCTCTTTCTGTCACTTCCATTGGTTGTCATCATCTTCTAAAGAAAGACGCAGATAGACTAAAAAACCCTTAAAATTTTTCTGTTACACATTTAAATTTAGGAAAAATTGACATTTTACACTCTCCATTCTGTTACGCACATACATGCACACAAATTTTTTATATCCAATAATTTGTTGTCATCATCTTCTTCCATTGGTTGCCACCCAAAGACATGTCCATCCTCACAAGAAGCTTTAAGTCAGGTGGTTTAGGTAATGGCAGTGGGTGCTCCACCTCCTCCAAACGCACCACCTTCGCTAATAGCTCCCCTTCCTCTTTTGTAGTCGTCTCCTTTCCTTGAAGATTCGAGTCTGGTGGTTCAGGCAATGGTGGAAGGTTGACAACCACCGCCGGTGGGTGTGTTGTTTCCGGCAGCTGCACATCCAAAACCTTGTTCGCAAGCTCTTCATCTACTTTCTCGTGCTTCTCCAACACTGATTTTTTATGCATTTCCGATTCTGTATCATCTTCTTCCAAGCATATCTTTTTCTATTCATGATTTTCTACTTCTCTAGTTTTGGTGTCTCCTTTTCTTTCACCAAGTTTCCTTCCATATCTGCTTTTGAATTCAAATGTCCCCTCTCTTCGCCTTCATCACAAAGTTATAAATTTGGGTCGTATTTCGGTTGAAATTCTTTTAGCATCGCCTTGGAGAAATCACACCAACTCGCCTTCAGATTTGACCCTCTCCAGAATAGGTACCAGATGCGATCATATACCTTCAGTCCTTTCGCAGCTTTTGAAATTTTTTTAGTTTCGAGTGTTCCTTTCATGTTGAAATATTGCTCCATCTGGATCTGCCATCCATAGGCTTCCACCCCATCAAACAGTGGAATCATCTTTTAAACGGATATCACAACTCCCAGATCGGAGCTGTGATACCAATTTGTTATGTTACAAACCTCTACTCAGATCACGAAAATAAGAACAGAATCAGAGATCATTGGCCTGGATAACTTCAGCTTTTTCATATATTGAGCAAAAGACAATAACAAGACAGCCTCACTGAGATAATTACAGGGAAATCAAGACAATTACAATGTACTGGAAATCAAAATAACAAAGCACAAAGAAATAAAAGATAATGTGAGACAATTCTAGAGGTCTCACTCTCTCCCAATCCCAAAAGGGCCCAGTCACTACTAAGATTCCAGATACCCAACCATGCTTCCTTCCCTCTGTATATAACTAACTTCAAGTCACCTCCACGCTCTCCATTCTGTTACGGGGAAATTTGGGAAACTCCTCTAACGTGGCAGTAGCTGTGTATGTTTGCCGACTAGGATCGTATCAGTTTGATTTGGGAATAATATAGAATTTTTTTCATGAGAATTTGGCTTTTAATAGAGGCCATGGTTATCATTTGATCCATGTAGCTGACAACACTTATAGGGTAAGGCTTGCTTCTTGTCGTCATTTTTATGATGATGATTTTGGTAGCTTGTTTCCAGATCATCTGTGTGTGTTTGTGCATGCTGCTTGCTTGGTACACTTATCCCCTGGTGAGTTCAACTCAAAAATTTAGGACTTTTGTATAGTTACAATCAAATAGATTTGTGTTAGTTTACTAAGTTTCATGTCTGCCATGTTGAGTGATTATCGCTTGCAAATTTTGAAAACTGGATCTCTGCACTATTATGCTGTGGTTTTTGTCTATTAGGCATTGATTTTAGTGTTTTATGTCATTTATTTATGTATAAATGATGGCTCAATAATTATTAGTGTAGATGTAGACAAAGGAGTTTGTTAACATGAATGTATGTTGCTTTTCATGTCAGAGAACAGAAGCTTCCAGAATGCTTTTCATATATTTCAGTTTTTATTTTAGAATCTTGTAGAGTCAACGATCAGTTTCTTGAGTTGCTATGTGATAAAAAAGTTTTTATGACGCCTTTTTGTTGACTACAGGGATTCTTTCTGGCAGTTTATTTGGTAGATGAGAGGGGATTGGATCTGGTGTTTTATTTATATTTTCGTTTTATGCTTTTTGGCTGTGATTATGGAGGATTGCTTACTTGTTAATATCACAATTTCTTTCCATTAATAAACTTTTTCCTTTTTAAGACATGAGTAAATAAAATGCACAGCCCCTTGAGATTGTACAAGCCAATGTTGGAGCATGATCTTCTTGCAATGTTAGAGCAGGGCCAGGTAGGGCACGACATGATAGTCTTCTTTATTATCTGGGCTTTATTTAAGCGATGGTGAACGATATTTCAAGTTGTTAAAGTACTTTTTACTACCTATGGAGATTTCTAAATTAGAGTATCTTTAGAGGCATGGTTATATAAAATGTGCGATCCATGATTTTAATCGCGTGCAACAATAAGGTTCAAGCTCCCAGCTACACGAACCAAAAGAGGGAATTGGAGTGACTGGAACCATCACTTGAATCAGCAGAGTCGTGCGCGTGGTGCTTGAAACATACTTGTGAATAGGCCCGCTTTAGCACGCTATAGCGTAGTTGCATTGCGGTGCAGCGGCCGGCCGCCACAAACTGCGCCGCAACGGTCAAGCATAGTGTAGCGGATGTAGCGGCCGCTATTGCGGCTGAATCGCGGCGCTATTGCGCCGCTACAGTAGTTTCTGCAAAAGTGTTATCGTCGTAGAAGGAAGAGATTTACAACTTAGATACAAGTTAAAATGTTCATGTTTAATTATGATTAGTTCCTTAAGTTCTTTGATTTTGACATTTCACTTAAGTGACACTTTGAATTTTGACTAATTTTGCCACTTTATTTTGTTGTATTACATTATTTGATACTTTAATTCCTTCAATTTGCTTATGATTTGAATTTTAATGTTCGAAATCATTTATGTTTGAGTTTAAGATCCTTCATATTTGTTTTTTATGCCACATTTTCTTATTTTAAGTTTTATATTTGTGGAGTACAATTTAGTGTATCACTTAGATACACTTTGCATAGTAGCGTTGTAGCGCTAACCACTATAGCGCTATAGCAGTTTGGAGGGTCAGCCGCTATTCGAGATTAATAAGTATGGCTTGAAATCACGATTCAGCAACATATTATCTTGTACACCATCCAGCTGGATTTTGTAAGCATCTAGCAGGTCTTGAAACAATGACAACTGCCATCTGCCACACCGTGGAGTTGGTTTCTGCAGCACTGTGAAGGTTGTATATGCAATGCTGGTTTATGCACATCATCGACCCTTGTTTTGGCATAATCGTGTGTGTCGTGCCGGAAATAGCGATTCAGCAATATTTCATCTTGCATGACATTGAGCTGGTTTCTGTAAGCGCCAAGTGGGTCATGAAACAACAATGGCAGGCTTCTGGAACACTGTCAAGCTGGTTTATGCACGTCTGGTTTCTGAGATGCCGTTGGGCTGGTTTTGTTGGGCTGGTTTTGCATTTCATTGACCTTTGTTTTGAATTCCAAGTATAAAACCTCGATTGTTGTTTATGGTCTTCCCCCAATCGCTCTCTTCTAGTTATAGTAAAATGTGGGCTCTCTTCTAGTTATAGTAAAATGACGACCGAAATAGTTTTACTTAAAAAGCTTTAGTTATCTTATTTGTTTATTATACATTTAAAATTTAAACTGCAATTTTCTAAATGTCTGATAACTGAAATTTATAGAATAATATTTTGACTTAAAAACCATATCCATCAACTTTTTATCCAATTTTTAAATCCTAGTTCTATTCTTCCTATGTTATCTATTTATAATCTATTTGAGGTTGAATAACAATTTATTTTATCATATTTAAATCTACTTTGTATGCAATTCAATTATCATGTTCTTATCTTTTTTCTATTTATTATATATTTGTATTTAAATAGATTTCAAATATATTTGATTTTGATTAAAAACCAAAACTTTTTTTGTTATATTTAAAACTACCTTATCCTATTTTCAAATCCGAGTTCTATTCTGATCATTTTATACCCATGACTGATCATCCACCTATCTCTGTTCTGCACTCAACAATTCTATTGCGTGGATGCATCCCCATTTTTGCGCTAACGAACCTGTGCTTCTTCCTTGCATAAAAGCTTCTTCCATTGTTTCATACAACTCCGGCCTCTGTTTGCACTAGTTTCTGTTAAGAACATCATCATCAACATCTGTTTTGCATGTAGCTCCTCTGATTTGGTTGTGTACTTCGCACTGCTCAATCTCTGTTTTGCACTGTTTTCTGTTTAGCTTTGCTTCATCATCTGCTTTCCGCACAGCTCCCCTGATACTTCTGTTTTTGGTTATGCTTGTTGGACTTGTTATCGGTATTTAGCTTTTCTCTAATTGATTGAGCTTTGAGTCTTGAAACTTTGTTTAATGTTCATAATATAGTTTATCAGTCTGCTATATAATTTTGTCAGACTTTTTTCATTGTAGCTGGTGCTGTTTTTGTTGCAGAGTCACTCTTTGACGTGTTATACTGCTACAGTGCTTGTGGATGTGGCCGTTCTGTGTTGCATTCTACCATTGACTACTTGTTTTTACATTTACTCATGACATTTATTTTAACATTTTGTTCTTATGATAACTATACTTTCCTTCTGTCTATACTTGCAGAAGGAAATCAACTAAGCTTGGTTCCAACATCTGAGATGATTAATTATACAAGGCAACTGCTTTCAGAATCCCAAGATAAAGTTCACAGAAACTGCTTGAAGATGCCAGCACTAATTTTGGATCAGAAGGAGAAAATGATTTCAAAGTTTATATCTAGCAATGGGCTGGTTGAAGATCCTTTGGCTATTGAGAGAGAAAGGGCTATGATCAACCCATGGACTTCAGAAGAGAGAGATATTTTCATGGAGAAATTTGCAGCCTTTGGAAAGGATTTTCGGAGAATTGCTTCTTTCCTTGACCACAAAACAACTGCTGATTGTGTTGAATTCTACTACAAAAACCACAAGTCCGATTGTTTTGAGAAAATTAAGGTGCAAGATGGTGGTGTTAAGCTAGGGAAGTTGTTTACTGCCAAAACTGACTTGATGGCATCAGGTAAAAAATGGAATTATCAAGTGAATGCTGCTTCTCTTGAGATTTTGAGTGCAGCTTCAGTGATGGCAGATGGCATTGCGGGTAACCAAAACATGCATTCAGGAAGTTCACTTTTAAGGGGATATGGTTGTTTGAAAACATCAAGGGATGAGGATAGCATCACGAAGAGATCAAGTGGTTTTGACATTCTTCAAGAGGAAAGGGAGACTGTCGCAGCTGATGTATTGGCTGGTATATGTGGTTCTCTTTCATCTAAGGCTATGAGTTCGTGCAGAACAAGTTCATTTCATAACACGAACAGGAAGCGTTTGAAGTTGAGGCCTCTATGCAAACAACCTATGACGCCTGATGTTACTCAAAATATTGATGATGAAACTTGTTCTGATGAGGGCTGTGGTGAAATGGATCCTTCTAATTGGACAGACGAGGAGAAGGCAACCTTTCTTCAGGCTGTATCATCATTTGGAAAGGATTTTGCGATGATTGCACAAAGTGTAGGAACAAGGTCCCAAGATCAGTGCAAAGCTTTTTTCAGTAAGGCTCGGAAATGCCTTGGCTTGGACCTCATGCACCCTAGACCTGAAAATGTTGGATCACCAGTGAATAATGATACAAGTGGTGGCAGGAGTGACACAGAGGATGCATGCATTGTGGAGATAGGTTCAGTCATTGGCACTGATAAGTCAGGCACTAAAACAGATGAGGAACTCCCTTCGCCTGGCATGAACACATACTGTGATGAATCCAATCCTGTGGAAGCCAGGAACTTGTCAGCTGACTTAAATGAATCAAAGGAGATATATGGGGAAGAAGTAGATCGTGAAGTTGTAAATATGGTTTCCGATGCATGTGTAATTAAGTGCGAGTCTAAACTGGGCTCTGATGATAGCGGGGTTGTGTTGTACAGTTCTGATAAGTCTGGTTTTGTTGGGGACCAGGGAGCTATAATTATGTCAGATAACTTACAAGCTGGAAAAGATAAACCAAATGAAGTGGGAGGTGCCGTTACAGAATTGTTGTCTGCTTCAGAATTAATTGAACCGTGCCACTCTAATCCTGTTGCTGAGGTTTTTACTGGTGGTTCTGGAAACAAATTGGAGGGGTCAACTCCATGCGTTGATGGTAGAGATGATAAACATGAAGCTGATACAGATGTTGGAGTTGAATTGAAAAACTCAGTCCATGATTCAAGATTGAGTTTTGGTGCTAAAAATCAGCTGCAACTGTCCCATAAGTCTTATTTCTTAGGATCCTCTGTAGATGATCCTCATGCAACTGCAAATTCAATGTTGCAAAATACTGCCGGTGCTTCTGTTCAATGTGTGAAAAAAACTATCCTAGATCGAGTGTCTTCTACTTGTGATTTTCCGGGAAGTAGAGATAAGAATAGTCATAATTCCATCAGCGATGGAGGCTATCAGCTTCTTAAGCATGGGAATTTATTGGACCATGTTGAGGCTGCTAGAATCCTTCAGTGCTATCCTTTCCAAGTGCCTGTTAAGAAAGAAGTGAATGGAGATATGAGCTGCAGCAATTCAGCAACTGTGTTCCCTATTCTGTCACAAAAGATTGAACAAGCTGATGGTAATTACAAAACACAGTTGCGGTGTTCGTCAGATTCAGAAAAAACTTCCAGAAATGGTGATGTGAAACTGTTTGGGAAGATATTATCCAATCCTTCGTCCACCCAGAAGCCTAATTTAACTGCCAAGAGAAATGAAGAAAATGGTACCCATCATCTGAAGTTAAGCCGCAACTCTTCTAATATGAAATTTGCTGGCCATTATAATGCTGACAAAAAATCAGCTATTTTGAAGTTTGATCATAATGATTATAGGGGCCTTGAAAATGTTCCTTTGAGTTATGGTTATCGGGATGGGAACAGAATACCGACTAGTTTCTCATCACTACCTGATTCTGCCCTCTTCCTTGCCAAATATCCTGCAGCATTCAGTAATTATCCTACATCTTCTGCCAAATTAGAGCAACATTCATTGCAGGCATTGGCCAAAAATAATGAACAGCACCTGAATGGAGTATCTGCTTTTACAACTAGAGAAGTCAATGGCAGCAATGGTGTGATTGATTATCAGATGTTTAGAAATAGGGATGGTCTGAAAGTGCAGCCATTTATGGTAGATGTAAAGCATCGACAAGATATGTTCTCTGAGATACAGAGAAGAAATTTTGAAGCTATCTCAAGTTTACAGGGAATGGTGGGAATGAATGGTGTTGGGAGACCAGGTATTGTTGTTGGAGGATCACGGAGTGGAGTCTCAGATCCTGTGGCAGCCATCAAAATGCATTATTCAAATTCTGATCAGTGTGGCAGTCAGAATGGGAGTATAATGAGAGAGGATGAATCTTGGGGTGGAAAAGGGGATTTAGGCAGGTAGTAGATGTGCTCAGCGGCAAACATACCTTTTTGCCGCCCCCTTGTATTATAGTTTTTGTTAATTTCTAAATATAGTGATAGAGCCATTTGACTAGTTCGTAGGCCTGTCTTTTTGGTTAAGTATTAGGCGCTTTTAATATTGCAGTAGCTTTGTATTTATTGTTTTTGATGAAAATACAGAAATAATATCAGAAAAAGTCAAGAGGGGCAATTGCCATTTTGGATTCCTTAGCGCCATCACTTTTGGTATAATTTTTACAAGTTTTTACGACTCTCTTTGGAGGTACTAATTCAGTAGAAAAGGGGTCAGATGGGCTCTTATAATGGATAACTCGACTTTTGGTTTTACTTTCTTTTCTCTTTTAGTTTGGATTCAAATAAATGTAGAAAAACAACTGATAGTTTTGCTTTATATTTCGGTTTTGTGAGACGGAGCAGCAGATTTTCATATACCGGAGTGTTTTGCTTAGGTATACCATTTTTCTCCGACAGGTTGAGTTAATATGCTTGTCAATTTGCATAGGCCAGGTCATCGATTTGAAAACTGGTGACCTACCCGGTTGCGTAAAGAATCGTTTAAACTTCATTAAAAAATTCAATAAAATCGGCGTAATTCAATCAAATTTGTATGAGCTTGATGGTTCAAGCATTGAGAGACGCAAACCTGTGTCTTATCAAAGTGTATGATTATGCTCGAGGGAGGTGCTTGGGGAAGGGAATCTTGCTTTCTACAATTGGCTTGTCAAAATTGATTAACCTGAAGAGATGTCTATGCATTTCTTTTTCAGTTTCGGATGATGCTTGTTTTTTCTCAGGTAGTTGATAAGTCCATGAATTGTGGTTAGACCTTCAACATTAAAAAAAAGAAGAGAAGATGAGAACATGCAGAAAGAAAAAGATGCAAATTCTGAACCTGTTCAGAATTCTGTTGTTCATGACAGCCCCCAAGGGGCTGCGCATAGTGACCCCTTGCTCATTCTGGTTTAACCAGACAATCAGCCCCCTATAGATGAGCCTTTAGGAAATAATTCCATGGAAAAATCCACTCCAAAGGGTTTGGCCCCTAAGACAAATAGTGAGACACCTGCTGCCTCAAAAAGACCTCCACCACCCTTTCCTCAAAGGTTACAAAAACAGAAGCAAGACACTCAGTTTAGGAAATTTTTAGACCTCCTAAAACAGTTGCATGTCAACATTCCATTTGTGGATGCATTAGAACAAATGCCCACTTATGTGAAATTCATGAAAGAAATTCTTTCAAGAAAAAGGAAGCTAGAAGAGTTTGAGATTGTTGCTCTTACACAAGAGAGCAGTCAATATCTGCTTAGTAAGATACCTCCTAAATTGGGAGACCCAGGAAGCTTTACAATCCCATGCACCATAGAGACCATTACATAGGCAGAGCATTGTGTGATTTAGGTGCTAGTATCAACTTGATGCCCTTGAGTGTGTACAAAAAGTTGAAAGTAGGAGAGCCTAATCCCACCCCTGTCACTTTACAGTTGGCTGATAGGTCCTTAGTTTATCCGGAAGGGAAAGTAGAGAATGTCTTGGTGAAGGTAGATAAATTTATTCTACCAGCTGATTTTATAATCTTAGACTTTGAGGAAGACAGAGAGGTGCCTATAATTTTAGGAAGGGCTTTCTTAGCCACTGGTGGGGCTGTGATAGATGTTAAGGAGGGTGAGTTGGCTATGAATGTGAATGGTGAGCAAGTAAAATTTAATATTTTGCAAGCCATGAAAAACCCAAGAGACATAGCGGAGTGTTCTAGGCTAGATATCATTGACTGTGTAGTCAAAGATAAATTTTTGCATGAGTCTGCATTGGACTCTTTACAAATTTCTGGTTTTGAGGGTCTTCAAATCAGTCAAACTGATTCTGAGGAAGTAGTTAAGTGGCTAAATTCCAGAACTGATGTGGTTTGGAAAAATAAAAATTTTGAGTCCTTAGAATTGGCCAAGAGAGGGTTAAAAATTCCCAAACCCTCAATTGAAGAGCCCCCTGTGTTAGAGCTCAAGCCTCTGCCTAATCACATTAGGTATGCTTACTTAGGAGAACAAGACACCTTGCCTGTTATAGTGTCCAACCTGCTCACTGTGCCAGAAGAAGAACAGTTGCTGACTGTTTTAAAAAAAATTAAGAGGGCTATAGGTTGGTTTTTGGCAGACATAAAAGGAATTAACCCTTCGTATTGCACACATAAAATCCTTTTTACTGACCTAACCAGCAGCTCTAGAGAGCAGCAAAGAAGGCTTAACCCAATCATGAAAGAGGTAGTAAAAGAGGAAATTATTAAGTGGTTGGATGCTGGGGTCATATATCCCGTTTCTAACAGTAACTAGCAGTACAGTGTGTCCCCAAAAAGGGTGGGATCACTGTTGTGGAAAATGAAAAAAAAGAACTAATACCCACTAGGACTGTTACTGGTTGGAGGATCTGTATGGACTACAGAAAACTCAACAAAGCCACTAGGAAGGATCATTTTCCTTTGCCTTTTATTGATCAGATGTTAGATAGATTGGCGGGTAAGGAATATTACTGTTTTTTAGATGGCTATTCAGGGTACAATCAAATAGCCTTAGCCCCTGAGGACCAGCCAAAGACCACTTTTACTTGTCCCTATGACATCTTTGCCTTTAGGAGAATGCCCTTTGGGTTGTGCAATGCACCAGCCACCTTTCAAAGGTGCATGATGGCCATCTTTACTGACATGATAGAACAGTTTGTGGAAGTCTTCATGGATGACTTCAGTGTCTTTGGGGACTTTTATGATGAGTGTCTCGGAAATTTGGGAAAAGTCCTTGAGAGATGTGAGGAGATCAATCTAGTCCTAAATTGGGAGAAATGCCATTTTATGGTGAAAGAAGGCATTGTATTAGGACATAGGATATCCAAGGCTGGGTTAGAGGTTGATAAAGCTAAGATAGATCAAATTGAGAAGCTGCCGCCCCTGTTAACATAAAGGGGATAAGGTCTTTCCTTGGGCATGCTGGTTTTTATAGGAGGTTTATAAAAGATTTTTCCAAAACCTCTAAGCCTCTTAGTCATTTGCTGGAAATTAACACCCCATTCCATTTTGATGAGGCTTGTCATAAAGCCTTTGAGGAGCTAAAACAGAAATTAATTTCTGCTCCCATCATAATAGCCCCTGACTGGTCAATGCCCTTTGAGTTGATGTGTGATGCAAGTGATTGGGCAGTGGGGGCTGTTTTAGGACAAAGAAAAAATAGAGTTTTCCACTCTATTTACTATGCCAGCCGAACCTTAAATGGAGCTCAATTAAATTACACAGTGACTGAAAAGGAACTGTTGGCTGTGGTGTTTGCCTTTGATAAATTTAGATCCTATTTGGTAGGCACCAATGTCACTGTGTATACTGACCATTCTGCCATAAAATATTTGGTGGAAAAGAAAGATTCTAAGCCTAGGTTGATTAGATGGGTTCTTCTCCTTCAAGAGTTTGATATGGAGATTAAGGATAGGAAGGGAACTGAAAATCAAGTGGCTGATCATTTGTCTAGGCTTAATGAAGGGCATCAAGATGAAAAGGCAGTGGAGCAAGCAATTAGAGAAACCTTCCCTGATGAGCAACTATTTTTAGTTGCCACTAACACAACCCCATGGTATGCTGACATAACTAATTATCTAGTTAGTGGGGAACTGCCTAAGGAGCTGAGTTACCAACAAAGGAAAAAGTTGGTACATGAGAGCAAGTTTTATTTGTGGGATGGGCCTTATATGTTTAAAAAGTGTGTTGACCAGATCATTAGGAGATGTATTTTAGAGGAAGAAAAAGAGGACATCCTTAGGCAATGCCATGACTCACCATATGGGGGTCACTTTGGTGGCATGAGGATAGCAGCAAAGGTGCTGCAGTCAGGTCTTTATTGGCCAACTGTGTTCAAGGATGCAAATTCTTATGTTCATAAGTGTGATAGGTGCCAAAGACTTGGCAACATTTCTGGAAGACATGAAATGCCTTTGAAACCTATTCTGGAGATTGAACTATTTGATGTATGGGACATAGATTTTATGGGCCCCTTTCCACCCTCTTTTGGAAACCAATATATATTGGTTGTTGTAGACTACGTTTCCAAATGGGTGGAGGCCGCTGCCTTACCCACAAATGATTCCAAGGTGGTAATTAAATTCTTGAAAAAGAATATTTTCACCCGATTTGGAACTCCAAGAGCCATTATAAGTGATGGAGGTAAGCACTTTGCTAGTAGACAATTTGAAGCTCTTTTGGCTAAATATGGAGTAAAACATAAAATTTCTACTGCTTACCACCCACAAACAAGTGGGCAGGTGGAAGTCACTAATAGGGAAATTAAGAGGATTTTAGAGAAGGTTGTGAATCCCTTCAAGGAAGGACTGGTCCCTTAAATTAGATGACTCTTTGTGGGCTTATAGGACAGCTTATAGGACACCTTTAGGCTGCTCTCCTTACAAGCTAATTTTTGGTAAAAATTGCCATCTACCCTTAGAACTTGAGTATAAGGCATATTGGGCTACCACACCACTAAATGTTGATGCCAATGCATCAGGAGAAAAGAGGCTTCTTCAACTCAATGAAATGGATGAGTTTAGGTTAAATGCTTATGAAAATGCCAAGTCATATAAAGAACAAATGAAGACATGGCATGATAAGCAAAATTTAGATAGGAAATTTGCAGTGGGGGAACAAGTATTGCTTTTTAATTCAAGATTAAAATTCTTCCCTGGGAAATTGAAATCTAGATGGTCTGGTCCATTTAAGATCACTAAGGTACATCTTCTTGGAGCTGTAGACATCTTGAGTGAGAAAGATGGTAATTCACTGTTAATGGGCAAAGATTAAAACATTATTTTGGAGAGTCCATAGAGAGAGCTGTTATTTCAATCCCTCTTTGTGACCAGTCTACTTTGTAAAAACAGTGACAAAAAGTCTAGCTTAAGACTCTAAAATTAGCATGTTTTGTTATGTTTGAATTATTTTTCCTCTTTCTTTACTATTCTGAGTTGTTGATTTTTTTATCTGTTCTTATTAATGTTAAAAAAAAAAAAAATTTGAAAATAAAATAGCTGATTACTGATACTCTCATTTCTTCTGTTTCAGGTGTTAGTGAATTCTGTTCGCTGATTTCTGGAAGCAAATCCAACTTCAGTTTGGGGGAGTGACCTGAGTATCAACTTGTTTATATTATTGCTATTTTAATTT